TTTCTCGATAAATCTTAGGCGATGATTTTACTATGAACTTCAATACTAATGTTGACTGGTAGGGTAGGTAGGTAGGCTACGTCAAAATTCTCCTTGACCGGGCACGTATTTCTGAGCAAATATAATTTTAAATTTTTTGTGTTTTCCATACTAAAACAGTTTTAATTTTTTTAAATACGAATACCGACGTCAATGTATTATTACATCGGCCCAAGCTTTTATGTGACTGACTTTGTATGAATCAGGACGGTGACGCTCTCAATTTTCCACCATACAACGCAATTTAATGGGCGCTTCTGGAGTATGCGTACCAAGGCTAGGGTTCCAAATAGCGACTGTCAATAGAGCGACTACACGACAGCGATTCATTTAAAACAGCGACTGCCACAACAGCGACAAACCCTAACCCCAACGACCTTAAAATTAATGTGACACGACATAGCGTTACCTTCCAACGACCGGCCAGGAAATTCGACTCAGTGAATCCAATGACCGGCCAGGAAATTCGACTCAGTGAATTCAACTCAGTGAACACGAGTTAAGTCGCTATCATAACAGTCGCTGTTTTAATGCGGTAGGCATTTTTATACAATCGCTGTTTGGAATGTCGCTCACTTGATTACGTCGCTATTATGAAGTCGCAATAATGACAGTCGCTGGCCTGGATACCGCGTACCAAGATGGCGGACACCGGAATGTAGTATGTGTACCAAGTTAGGTTTGGGCCATAATTTTAGGTACAAATACTACTGGGGTCACTTGGTTTGTCCCCGGACTCGTAATGGAACGAACCATAATAAGGAAAATTTCAGTAAAATTATGGCCTAACCCCAACCTGGTACACAAACTACGTTCCGCTGTCCGCCATCTTAGTTCACATACTTCAGGAGTACCCTTTATTGTTCTTGTATATTTATTCACTTAGAGAGCATTTGACTCTAAAAACCGATAATTCTAAATATTTTTATTTTAGGATTCCGTGAATTCACTTGCGATTCGAAATATCACATCACTGTGCACAGAAATAGAAGCGTCACGTGCAACAATGCAAAATCTCTTTGTGGGGGTAATCTAGCCAATATTTATGACCTCGAACAATACAGACAGTTGACGGATTGTTTACGCCAAAAGATTCCTAGTGGGTGGACATGGCCCGTCTCTGTTTGGACTGGTCTCGTCTATAAAGTAAGTGAAATATTTTTTCATGCGATATGTTTAAACCAAATCTTGAACTACAAAACCTAGAAAGAGATATAATAATATGTACACAGTTTTTACTGCATAGTGTAACTTGATTATCTCCCTAATTCAAGTGCTTTCAATGTCGCGTAAATTGATTATAAACTGATGGCGTTCACGAAGTAACCCGAGAAACGGAGCATCGCCAAATTAACTTTAATTAAAATGATAATATTCTGGTCAGTTGTCAGACATGCTCAATGATTTGAATTGGAGCGCAAAAGGGTAAAAAGATTTAATCAAACTGTTTCAATAAAATAAGTTCAAATTGGAAATAAATGAAACTCGTATTTTTACTTAATAACGTTAGAATAACGTAGCCCAATTCAACAGCAGTCGTAAAGAATAGCCAGTCAACGATCAAGAGCGCATTTTCAAACGTTGTCATAGGCGCCATTTTACGTAGATACGCCACTGTTCCGTGGTAACTTGTATAAGTATTTTATCTTGAAGATGTAGCTGCATAAGCCTTTTATCACGCAAAAAAATGCAAAATTCGAAATATATTTAACAGAATAATCAACTTCGGTCATCATCTGGCCAACCTGTAGATCAACTGGAAAATGAGTGGCGGCCTGGTTATCCGTGGCTCGATACTTCGTACACAAATGTTGCACTTTGGGTGAATAAAAATCTAGGGCGTAAAGATGAGGGGATTTTCAATTATGACCCATCTAAGTCAGTACACGGTGTCATTTGTGAAATGAACTGAATTCCGGATACTCAGGTTATAAAACCCCAGACTTGTCCATTGTGCGACTACTATATATATGGGAATTACTAACACCTATCGAACTGTACTATTGGTCAACAGTTGGTTATAGTTGACGCAAATATTCAATGAGCACGCTAATTCGAACTTACGATGCCTTGTACTTTTGTGAACATTATATATCGAGTATGTAGCAACATTTAGCCAAATTTGCCTCCGAAAATGAAAAATTTTATCCCCAGTTCAAGAATCACTGATTTAAAGCGAGCTTTGTTTACGTTCTTCCGAGTGTTCTTGTATTTAACTTCGAAAATATTATAAAATGCTCTTTGTTATATTATCATGCACTATGTATGTTTTATTGCTATTGTTTTATTTAATTTTATCGAAAATTGATTTTTTAGTCATTTTCAAAAAATAATTTTTCATCTCCAAAGTAAGGCTCCAGAAAAACAACCATTAATAATATATATATATATATATATATAAGAAGCCTCGATGGATCTTGGAACGGCCGATATTTCTCGATTCCGCGTGACTTAATTAATTACAGCATGAGTTATGTGTTTAACAATTCATCGCCTCGCTTTCATGAGCGCCTACTCCAAATTTACAAAAGTATAATATTTAATCAAGTTTCCACTACTCATGTATCCTATTCCGTTCTTTTCTCATTTCACAGCTCTCGTGACCTAACCCTTTACCTGGGATTTTGTCAGTGTATTTATATTAAACATTTGAGTCACTGTATGATCTGAAAACTTATTATATTGAAACTCACATATCATAAAAACTGCTCATACCGGCTCTAAAAATATTAGGATTATTCCAAAGTCTTTTCTATCCCATGTGATAATTCTATACATAGTGAGTTCTTATTTATCCATGGTACAACATTTCTCTTGTTAACTGATTTTCTATGAGAACTTTTACGATGTAGTAGTAACTTTAGTTGATTTTAATATGAATTCATTGCCTCCATTTTATTTTGTTTGTTAACACCTAGTCTAAGTTAAGAAAGGTCTTAAATGTTTCTTTTGATGTTCACTAGTTTTGTATACTATTATAAATAAGCTTTCTTATCTTACAGTTTTGTGCCCTTTGCTATGCCAATATATATTAAACGTTTGAGTTACAGCATAGTTAGAACTTAGAAAGTCTATTGAAAACTACAGTCCATTGCTCGATTTTATTTAAGTTATGAACGTCTAATTATTTTTTGCAATAGTATGCTTGTCACCTAATATCATATTATATATGGTTGCCCTTCATTCACAGTCCTTGTAGCTCAACCCTTCGCCTAGGCTTTTCTGTCAATATTTGAACGTTTGTGACAATTTTGCAATATTAAAGCTTACATGTCATAAAAGCTGCAAAAATAATTCTGATTTCAGTGAGATAAACACTGAGCAGCAATTTCAGATGTTAATTGAGATTTTGTATCAGAATATCAGCGTTTTTTTTTCAGTAAATTGCTTCTATTTTCATTGTATTTCATTTTCAACTAATATGCAGGACACTAGGAATATTTTCGTGGTATTATTACTTGTTTTGTCCCAGACTGATTACTTGTTTTAAATAAATAACAATATATACCGAGTGCAATTAAATACAGTATGCAAATATTAGACAGGCATAGCAGTTTCATACAAATCAGAGAACGGTATTGTCCTCCGCGCGCATTTTTGAATCCATAACCTTCTAATAATGGTCGTAATTTGGGTACTCCTGTAGTATGTGTACCAAGTTAGGGTTAGGCCATAATTTTATTCCGATTTTCCTTATTACTTATTGATCTTAAGATCGGTAAGTATGTTGATAGGTATTTGTCTGTTTGTTTGTCTGTCTGTCTGTTAGATGCACGCGATATCTCACGGAAGCGAGATTGAATCTGCTCCAAATTTTGCATGTGAATTCATCATAGCTCGGATCAGAAGCTTATTGATTTTCGATGAATTATGTCGTATAATTAGCAAGTTAATAATTAATTAGTGATGGGACACACGGTGTCACTATGGAGTAAGAGCGCTGTTTTAGGGAATACCCTAACCTTCGGTCGATAAGTCTTCGGTCTCCGACCGATATTCTCGTTTTAGTTTTATTACGAGTTCGGGGACTGTCTGTGTTAGCCAAGTGAATATACCCCCTGCCCAACTTGGTGTAAAATAGGCGAACAAAATTACATACATCCATATTGGTACACAAACTTTGTAACCACATGACCAAAATAAACGAAACCCAGAGTGTAATAAATTGCGAAAAGCCGAACCAGAAGATACCGGTCCTTTGTAATACAGTGGATCATTATGTATCAGTCGACATTTTTTTTACATAGCCTTCTCATGGGAGAGGAAAGTCGCTAAGACGCACACGACCTATTGTCCGGTTACCAGTCTATGTCGGGTATGAGAATAGCCAGTTATTAGTTTCAGATTTGACAATGCACTTCACATCAAACTGTATTTTGTCTCATAGTCTGCGTCTAATTAACCCGCCATGAAATATAAATTGAATAACAGGTCACGTATATACAAATCAACCAATTACATATTGTTTTTACGGTGGTGTGTTTGGGGTGTGTCACTGTGCGCTGGAAAACCTAAAGCAACTTTCTTGTATAGGGTTGTTGTGCAAAATAATGCATCGCATTTTATATTCAAAATTGGTCTCTCCTACACTTTTCCCAATGATGAATATTCTGATCATTCTTGATCATGGATAATATTCTGAAAAAATATGATTTAGGTGCGTCATTGGTTCGATGACTTTCCGCTGGAAAGAGTAATGCAACTTCCTCCGGGTTCCCATTCCGAGTTTTTGATCAAAATAATGTGCATCACGTATTAGAATTAATACTAGTTAGAACAGTTGGGCCAAAGATAACTCATCTGTATGCATGCGGCACAATCTTGGTTGTATGTACATTGGTTGCATGTGCATGCATTATAATACAAATCCAAAATTATAACAAAAATGGAAAAAGTTCATGCTATTAGTTATAGTACATGCTCTCATTCTCCCATTTTAGCTTTTTGGAAGCGAGGATTGGGATACGTCGAAACCTACAATGTTTTCATCAACCTTCATTTGGCTTGTCTGCCTGGGAGGCGCATTTGCAGGTGAAAATTTTTTTTATACTTTGTTTTTTGAATTTTTGTTGAATTTAGCGAGATTCCGTGTTTTCTCGAAAATAATACTTATTCTGAATTTTAAAATGATTTTAATATAAGACCACCCCTTGCTTAAAACAACACCTATTCGATAGCAAGAAATCCATCTCATACGTTTTAAATGATTAACCTAAAACATGGGAGGGATGAAAAGGTTAAATTACCTGAGGTAACGTGGTATTTATAGGTAAATGGATACCGGTTGTCATATTTTTTATATTTGGAAATCTCGTAAGTTTCCACTTTGTAATTTTGTTTTTGAGGAATGAAAATAAGAGACATCCCCTAAAATAAGCCCTAGTGTTATTTTTCGAAAGAAAATTGAAATACGGTATATGGATTGAAAAATACTTTTATCATTGAAGGGGAGGCAAGAGACATCGATTTGACAGGAGTCACAATTTATCAAAGTCTTGATATAAATAAAATAACTCGTCTACCTAACTATTTATCTTAGCTCAGTGATCGACTCAGTGATCTAACCCTCAGACGAGCCGTGTGTAAAGGGTCTGAAACCTATAAGCATGGGGTATATTCACTTGGCTAACACACACAGTCCCCGAACTCGTATAAGAACTAAAATAAGGAAAATCGGAATAAAATTATGGCCTAACCCTAACCTGGTACACACACTACGGGAGTAACAATAAATCAGTGTCTCCCGACCTTTTTTTAGGGGCATCCATCCAACACGGCGTTTTATCGCAAAACCATAGAGATTGAATTCCATGTAGTCAGAGTCAAAATTTGACCACTTTAGAGTTTTTGTTTTGTAACCCTAAGTCGTGGGTATTGTAGGACATTTTTGCAACTTCATAGATTTGGACTAGAAGAAAATTCTAGATAGTGTCATATTACAGGTACTTCAGAATTAATGTATATCTGACGCAAATTTATTTATCAAGTGAATTTGATGAAAACAAGGTTACGTGCACTCACTTAGAAGTAGAAGAGACTCATCTCGGAGAAAAATTAGGGCGACTACTTAGTTCCAAGAGATACTGAAGCATATTGAATTCCGGTAGCACATGGAATAATTCAGCTTTGGTTCATTAAAAAGACTCATCTATTAGAAAATTTATGAGAACTACTCAAAGAGACATTGAAACCACAAAGAATTATGGTGGAGCATCACGCGCTAGTAAATACTTTATTTAACTTCGTTTCATTATTGATTAAAAGTTCCAATTATATTTCACAGTCGATATCTCCATGAACATTCAACTCGGATCTGAGTCAGTCAGTGAGTCCTGTGACGAGCAAGCGACAATTACGGTGAGTCACGTCCCGAACGCGTGATTGTTTTAATTTTTAACTCTTTTCAAAAACTAAAATCTGTTTCATTTTATTTTATTCAACAGGCATCAAGTGAGGAAGGTGAGTAACTGGTTAATTTAGAAGTCTGAGAGAATATGGTATAGTAACTAAATTAATGGATATAATGAATCGGCGCTCTAGAAGTGTGTATACAAATATGGAGGTAACTAATTTTGTTCGCCTATTTTACATCAAGTTGTGTAAACGGACTGAAACCTGTGGGCAGGAGGTATATTCACTTGGCTAAAACAGACAGCCCCCGAACTTGTAATAGAACTAAAACAAAGAAAATCGATATAACACCCTGCCCTAACTCTAAGCGGGTACACATACTACGGGTGTAACAATAAATCAATGGCTCCTGACCTTTTGTCTAAAATTCCTTCGCCTATTTTGGAAAGCTTTATTCCTCCCTCGCTATGCATAAAATATTTACGTTATTTCTTCAATCTTTAATCGACACCTAGCTAGTGTTAAGCACAAGTCGCGCTCACGCTTTTTTACAGTTTAAGTAGTTTAGGGCTGCTAACTGATCAAGCGACCGTAGCTCATCGTCTTATTAACATTTCCAGTCATAGAATAGAACGAAAAAAATAATAATAACTGCCGAAGTCACGCGGTTACTCACGTGTACCGCCATCCAAACAACGAAGTGTTAGATTTGTGTTTTGTCTGCGTGGACCAGTGCTGTGAAGTCGGAAAAAATTTACGATCAAACCTAACTTTCAATTAATTTTGACTCCGACTCCTGCTTCCAACTACGAAAAAAAATCGAATTTTAATAACAAAGACTTTGGCGCATGCAAGCCTTCTTCAACATACTGTTAAAAACGCTTAGTAAAATTATTGCTATGCAGAATATCTTGGTATGCAGTTTTGCCTTAAAAGTCTGGAATTTTGACTCCGACGGGAAATTTCTACTCTGAATCCGAGGTATTTGAAAATATGACTTCGAATTCAGTACAAACATGTTAAACCCCGATTCCACGGCACTGTGTGGACAATTGCAGACGCGACCGGCGCGAATCCTTTGAAAAAACGGTCGCTCGGTGTTGGTCGCATAATTTAAATTTCATATACGGAAGCACTCTTAGTATATATATGAGGTGTATGCGTATCATCTCTCTGAACAAAGCTTTAAAAAGCTGCCACTGTTAAGGAGCTACTGAATCTCTCACTTTGAATTGTTCATTGTCGAGTCTTATCTTCTTACTTCAGAGCTGAGAGACAAACTGACGAAAAAACTTGAATCAGTTTTGTTGAAAAATCCAGATGCCGAAATCACCATCTCAACTCAGATCAATGTTAACGGCCAAATTCACTCAACCAAAATCACCAATACCGACATAACTTCAACAACTGATGATGCTGTCGACACTAGCAAAGAAAATGTAGCAACTACAGTTGCTTTGCCAACCACGGGGGACGTCATTGACTACACAATGGATGACGTAATGACAGAATTTGACACCAGATCCGTGACCTCTATAGCGCCTTCTACATTTGAGTCTACGACACTATTGAAGGATCAGAGCACAGGTGATAAATACTGAAAACTTTTGATTCCGTTAAATCAGTTGTAGAGCTGTAGAAGAGTTACACGCGACTCCAATTCTAAACTAATCCAAAACATTCTTCGACTCTTGATTACGGGTTGTTCCGTACTTAAAAGGACGCTCCAGATGTATGTGCACCAAGATGGCGCACAACATGGACATTGGTACACATACTATGTTCAGGTTGTGCGCCATCTTGGTGCACATACTTCGGGAGCACCCTCAAAACATATGCTTTTCTGAAATGGCAAATTGTTTCCTACCGAAGATGTACCGTTTGCAACTTCGATTCTCAAATGTGTGCTGTATTGAATAAAAATACGCCCATGCCCCCGACTGCAGTTCTGACAAAAAGAATACTCCAGAATGTCATAACAAAATAATAAATTATTTCAGTTTTTTGGCGTTAAAAAATAATATATTTTTTTTTATTATAAGGGAACATTCATATCATGTGATAAAAACATCAGCCCACGAAGTTGTCAACGACACTGCTAATAGATGAATTTACACAAATACCACAAACACTTTGAACCTAATACAGGAAACAAGGGTTGGATAAATATATAAAACAAACATAATTCTATTGTAGAGACCGAGATGATAACTGAAGAGCAAGAGGGAGCCGATTTTGTGACTGCAGATTCAACCACGGCAGAGACAACAATCAAAGTTGCCACAAATAAACCAAGTAATTTCCTTCTTTATTTGACAGACAGATAGGCAGGTGGAATAACAGACAAACTGAGAGAAGCAATCAAGGCTATTATAATACATTTCCCTTTTGACTTGGCCCAAAGACAACATTTTGTTGATAAATCTTCCGTCGTCTTATATTATCACAAACACACACTTATGTGGACAACATAGACTTAAACAATAAATCTAGTTGATTCGGGGTAGAAATAAGTTCGCCGCAATACCGGGATTTTAGAACAATAATCCACGACTATAAAATTTTTTTAAAACAAACCGAACATCAATGTGGCAAACTAGCGCAAAGTTGTTTTACGAAGATTGTCGATATTTATGTTTTCCATCAGATTTATCCTTCGAGCAATTTTAATTTTCCGGTTGCATTAGGATCAGGGATTGTATGGATTAAAATTAGGCAACCCTTGGCTAAATATAAACAAAAAATTAAATTTTCTCGATAAATCTTACGCGATGACACTACTATGAATCTGAATACTAAAATTGACTGGTAGGGTAGATACGTCAAAATTCACCTTGAACGGTCACGGATTTTCGAGCAAAATTAATTTGAAAATTTTAATGTTCTCAGTATTAAAACAGCTTTAATTTTTTTAAATACAAATACCGGCGTTAATTCATGTTTATGTCAATGTATTATTATATAGAACCATCATTTTATGTATGAATCAGGACGGTATCGCTCTCAATTTGCCAACCCTCGGCTACATACGAACGATACACTATACACCGCACTCTGATGTTTTACAAAATTCAGTACCATTGAAAGTAACTCACTCTAAAAACCGATAATTGTAAATATTTATATTTTCAGGATTCCGTGAATTCACTTGCAATTCGAAATATTATTACATCATTGTGCGAGGTAAATTGGATGTCTCGATCGACAATGCGAAATCTTATTGTGGAAGCAATCATCTGGCCGATATTTATGACATTGCTGACTACAATCTGTTGACAGATTGTTTACGTTCAAAGATTTCCATTGGGTGGAAATGGGCCGTTTCTGTTTGGACTGGTCTCACCTATAAAGTAAGTAAAATATCTTTTCATGCGATATGTTTAAACCAAATCTAAAATCTAAACTACAAAACCTAGAAAGCTATATAATAATATGTACACAATTTTAATTTTGACTGCATAGTGTATCTTGATTATCATCCTATTTCAAGAGCTTTCAATGTCGCGTAAATTGATTAAACTGGTGGCGTTCCCGGAGTAACCCGAGAAATGGCAGCATTGTCCAAGTAACTAAAAAAGAATATTCTGTTAGGACACGCCTCAATGATTTATTGTTGTAGTTTTTTCAATGTCTCGTCAATAAATATTGGTTAACTGTTGAGATCTCCGAAGTAACCCAAGAACCAAAAAGCAAAACTGCAGCATTGTCAAATTAACTTTAAAATGATATCATTTTTATCTGTCATGTTTTGATGATTTAGAAGCAAAGTACGAATGGGGATAAAGTTGAGCCAGACCCGGTTTCAACATAAAATTGGGGGCGCTCCCGAAGTATGTAAGGTGGCGCGCAACCTGAACCTGGTACACATACTATGTTCAGGTTATGCGCCATCTTGGTGCACATACTTTTGGAGGTCCAAATTGGGATTATTCTGATTAGACATTCCTCAATGATTTATGATAGTAGCAAACGGTACATATTGACAGGACTCGTGTCCATGCTTGAAAACAAAAAACTGGATATAGCCTTTAGAAAACCAGTAGTAGCCTGCGTTAGTAAACGAGCTTATATTATGTAAAAACAATTTAAAATGCGTAATTTATTTTAACAGAATAATCTTTTTCTGTCATCCTCTGGCAAACCTGTAGATCTATCGACAAAGATGTGGTATCCGAAGTATCCAAGTTCCAACGCTCGGTACACAAATGTTGCTCTTCATGTCAATAAAGATCCAGAATCGCATAAGCAGGGGATTTTCAATGATCTATCCTCTACCAAATTAAAAGGTGTCATCTGTGAAAAATGAACTGAACTTTGGATTTATCAATCTCAAACTTGGGCTCGTATATTATGTAAATTGTAAATAATTGTCTGACTTTTTGGCTACTCTTTGACGGAAGGCCAAAATTAGAAACAAGCACGACTTTCAACAGTGAATTTACAACTGATAGTGACTGGTGGAGTTACTTGCTCATCTAGTATACACGATCTTGTGTTAATGTCTACTTATATAAATATATAAACGAAAAGCAAACGTAATAAACTGTGATAATGACGTAACAAATGGGATATAGAACGCAAAAAAGTAAAAACATACAGTGTTAAACTATTCGGCGAGCCATATTAAATCGTTACGCTCGCCGTAATTGGCCACTGCTCTATGGTTAATATTTACTAAAATTGTAACAAATCGTACTATTGGTCGACTGCGGACAATAATTAAAGTGAGTATTCAAAGAAAACTTACGCTGTCCACTTGTCTTTTGATCATCTGTTACATATTCTGTTAACTATGGGCGCAGCGATGTGTCTCATCGTGCTAAGCGTTAGGAATACGCTCACCACCGCACCTCTGATTACTCTGCGTGGGTTCGCAGGTTCGAATCCCATGCTGGGATGGTTATGTGCGAGTGGATTGCCATATGGTTAAGCCGTCTTATTGGGTTTCCTCTCTCTCCCGTGATAAATATGTAGATTCTATCTATCCTATACTTAAGCCAACTAACTAATCGTAATACTGGTCGAACGTGGACTATAATATATAAAAAAAAAGTTGAGAAGCACACGCTAATTCGAAATTCCACTGTCCGCTTGTCCGTGGATCGACAATTACATACTCTGCACTGCACTAAACATGATTTAACTTACCGTACTGTTTTTGTTGCTCGGCTGCGAAATATAATTAAAGCAGTGGTTCTCAAAACTTTTTGGGCCGCGCCCCTTTTTCGGGATTTGTCAAGCCTCACCTCAGAAATATAGCTAACAATAAGTTACAAATAACGGATAGTAAGGCGGAAGTATGTTTTAATTTAAAAAGCGTGTGAAAATACGTGGATGGAACGTAAATATCTAAAATAAAAAAATGTAAATATACAAAATAAGCGGGCAAGATCAAATCTAACAAATATTTCTAATTAGCTTCACGCCCCTCTGAAAATTGCCACATTTTATTCAACTTATGAAGTATACTTTTTTTTTTGGTATGCACTAGTTATGTATTCTATTATATGCTTTCTCGTATTTTACAGTTTTTATGACTCGACCCTTTGCTTTGTCAATGTATATTAAAGGTTCGAGTCACGGTATGATCTGAAAGCTTTCATTTTATTAAAAACTACATGTGTTTAACAATCCATTGCTCGATTTTCTTTAATTTATGAACGTCACCTCTCCTTTTGCAAAAGTATGCTTGTCACTTATATCTTGATATAGGCCTATATTGTTGTTCTTATTTCACAGTTTTTGTGGCTCAACTCTTCGCCTTGGCTTTTGCTTCGTTAATGTTTTAACGTTTTCCAATATTGAAGCTTACATATCATGAAAGCCGTAAAAAATAATTCTAATTCTTAATCTTCGATTGCAGTAAGATAAACAATTTCACGTGTTTATTAAGATTTTACATAAAAATATCGGCTTTTTCAGTTAAATTGCTATTGTTTTTTTTGTTTTTTATATTTTCAACTATTATGCAGGACACTTCAGGACATATTTTCGTGGTATTATTACTTATTTTGTCCCAGAGTAATTACTTGTTTTAAATAAATACCAATATAAATATATACCGAGTGCATTAATAAATACAGTATGCAGATATTAGACAGGCATAGCAGTTTATACAAATCAGAGAACTGTATTTTCTTCCGCGCTTATTTTTGAATGCGTAACCTAATAATGGGCGAAATTTGGGTACTCCCGTAGTATGTGTACCAAGTTAGGGTTAGGCCATAATTTTATTCCGATTTTCCATGTTTGAGTTCTTTTACGAGTTCGGGGACTATCTGTTTTAGTTAAGTGAATATACCTTCTGCCCATAGGTTTCAGTCACAACTTGTTGTAAAGTAAGCGAACAAAATTAGTTACCTCCATATTGGTACACACACTTCCGGAGCGTCATTTTTTGCGAGAGAGTTTAACATAGCCAAGAAATTTGTTAATTTGACTCCAATGAATATAATAAGGTCAGATAACCATAGAAATCTGATTGAGTCAAATATAGTAAGATAAATTATAAATGCAAGTGCAAATGGCAAAAGCAAACAATGCATGTCAAAAGATCAATAACCCAATTATTTGTGCCTGCAACTAATAGAAAGTCTATGTTAAATAAAGGTGCGGCCCGCGGTTTCACCCCGTTATTTGTATCTGGACCTCCTGAATTAAAGGTTGCAGAAATTTCTTGGGAATCATGAATTCCAGATGTGCCGTCCTGTTCCGTGAAGAGAATAAATAAGCTAACAGAAAATTTAGAACAAAATCTCAACAGTCCCATGGAAAACAACTGTCCTTCTTGATTTAATTTTCACAGAGAACGCCGTTATACTCCCAGTCTGGTGCAATATTAAAAATATCTCGAGTACGTTTTATTCAAAAACACATTGAAAATACGTGGATGGAATGGCAATCCTAAACAATAAACAAATGTAAATATCCAAAACATGGCGGGCAAGATCAAATCTAACAAACATTTTCAATACTAATTAGCTTCACGCCCCTCAAAATTGTCCACGTCCCCCTTGTGGGGTTCTGGATTCCAATTTTGGGCTTTTTGGGCTTGGAATCTCTCACACTATATGCTAATTTCATGTTATGTTAACCCGCCATAAAAAATGAATTGGATAGCAGGTCATGTGTGTGCAAATCAACCAATCATATTGCAGTGGTGTGTTTGTGGTGTGTCACCGTGCGCTTCCTTATTTCGTTTTTTTTTTTTTTGCAAAATAATGAATCGCATTTTAGATATAAAATTGGTCTCTCCCATAGTTTTCCCGGCGATAAAGAACCTGCTAATCCGTGGACCAACCTTGATCATAGATAATTATCCGCAAAGCTGTGTTTGGTCGCGTCATAGGCTTAATGACTTTTGGTCGCAACTTCCGTATTCCGAGTTTTTGCTCAAAATAATGTGCATCACGCATATTGGAATTAATAATAATGAGAATAGTTGGGACAAATATGATTCACCTGTTTGTATGTTGCCCAATCCTGGTTGTATGTGCATGTGTTATAACAGAAATCTAAAATTTTAACAAAAATGGGAAAAAGTTCATGCTATTAGTTGGAGTGCATGCTCTCTTTTCCCCATTTTAGCTGGAAGCGAGGATTGGGATACGTCGAAGCCTACAATGTTTTCATCAACCTTCATTTGGCTTGTCTGCTTGGGAGGCGCGTTTGCAGGTGAAATTTTTTTATATTTTGTTTCTTGGATTTTCGTTGCATTTAAGCAAGATTCCGTGTTTCCTCGAAGATAAGACCTATCCTGAATTTTGAAATGATTTTAATATAAGCCCTCCCCAAACAAGACCTAGTTGATAGTAAGGAATTTCTCCGACACGTTTTGAATGGTTATTCTAAAAGGTGTGAAAGGGAAAAACGTGCCATTCATAAGTAAATGAATATCGATTTTTATATTTTGTTTGATTGAAAATGTCGTAATTCTCCATTTTGTTTTTGCTGAATGGAAATAAGAGACATCACCCAAAATTAGCCCCAGTGTTATTTTTCGAAAGAAAATTGAAACACGGTATATGAATTGAGAAATACTTCCATCAGTGTTGGGGAGATAAGCGACATTACCTTGACTGGAGTTACAATTTATCAAAGACGCGGAAAGACTTGAGAAAAAAAAATGGGTCGCACTTAACTAATCGCCTTTGCTCAGTGATCGAGCTGATCTAACCCTCGGAAGGGCCATGGCCAGATTGGATTCGCGGTTTCACACCCTTCTATCGGGGTTTTAGATGAAAATCAGAGATGGGGACTCGGGCATTTTTTTAAAGTATCGGACGTTGAATTTCATGTAGTTGGAGTAAAATTTTTACCAATTCATGGTTTTATTTTTTTGCAACCCTAAGTTTGGATATATTTAGAATACTGCAGGATATTTTTGCGACTTCATAGCATTAGAAGAAAATTCAAGATAGTTATCTTCAAGATAGTTAGTTAAGATATCCATTAGCAAATTTATGAGAACTACTGAATCGCAAAGAGATGGTGAAACCCACATAGAATTATGGTGGAGCATCACGCGCTAGTAAATACTTTATTTAACTTCAGTTCATTGAAAGTTTCAATAATATTTCACAGTCGATATCTCCATGAACATTCAACTCGGATCTGAGTCAGTCAGTGATTCTTGTGACGAGCAAGAGACAATTACGGTGAGTCACGTCCCGAACGCGTGATCATTTTATTGTTAACCCTTTCCCAAAACTAAAATCTGTTTTTAATTTTATTTTACAGGCATCAAGTGAGGAAGGTGAGTAACTGGTTAATTTAGAAATCTGAGAGAATATGGCATAGTAACTAAATTAATGGATATGATAAATCGGCGCTCCAGAAGTGTGTGTACCAATATGGAGGTAACTAATTTTGTTCGCCTACTTTACATCAAGTTGTATAAAGGGACTGATTACTATGGTTAGGGGGTATATTCACTTGGCTAACGCATACAGCCCCTGAACTCGTAATGAACTAAAATAAGGAAAATATGACGGGATTTACATATTTATCCCGGTCGGCTAGCTACTGAGTCTCTCACGTTAAACTGTTCAGTGTCGAGTCTTATCTTCTTATTTCAGAGCTGAGAGACAAACTGACGAAAAAACTAGAATCAGTTTTGATGAAAAACCCAGATGCCGAAATCGCCATCTCAACTCAGATCAATGTTAACGGCCGAATTCACTCAACCAAAATCACCAATTCCGACATAACTTCCACAACTGATCGCGCCATCGACACTAGCATTGAAAATGTAGCAACTACGGTTGCTTTGCAACCCACTGGTGACGTCATTGATTACACAATGGATGACGTAATTACTGAATTTGACACCAGATCCGTGACCTCTATAGCGCCCTCTACATTTGAGTCTACGACACCATTAATAGATCAGAGTACAGGTGATAAATCTTGAATTGTAGAAGAGTACGGGTAAGCAAACTACGGGTTAGCAAAAATTCTGACTCAAACTTTGCACACAAAATAATGCCACGCCCAAAATCCCGACATTGCAAAAGAATTTAAATATATATTTCAGAGGTCTCCTTCAATTTTGATCAGCGTCTTATGCCAGGTTTCCGGAGTTACAGAATGAAATTTCCATTGAACTGTAAGATACAGTTATGTCCCGCAAGGAAAAATAACTTCTAACTAAATAACAAATATACATATAATAAAACAAACAAGAGCCAGACGAATATATATAACAAACTTTCTTTTGTTGTAGAAACTGAGATGATAACTGAGGAGCGAGAGGAAACTACAACCAATGTTGTGACAGATTCGACCAAGTCAGAGGCGACAACCCAGGATGCCACAACCGAAACAAGTAATTTCATTTTTAATTATGTAGATAACAGAAATAGAAAGAGACACTTGACAGTTATTTTTGATAATTAAAATAAATTTTTTGGCATTGCAGAATGGAATTTTTCTTTGTACTGTAAGGCAACATTTATGTATCACCTTGAAAAAATACTAACCATATATGTATTTACACAACTACCATAAATACTTTACATCTAATACATGAAACAAGTGTTAGATGAATCTATAAAACAAACCTACTTCCATTGCAGAAACCGAGATGATAACTGAAGAGCAAAGGGAAGCTAGTAACGATGTTGTGACAGATTCGACCATGGCAGAAGCAACAACCCAGGATGCCATAACTGAACCAAGTAATTTCATTTTTAATTCAGTAGACAACAGAAATAGAGAGACTTGACAGTTATTTTTGACAATAGGAATAAATATTTCAGAATTTTTCGGCGGTACGAAAAATATTTTGCCTTGTATTGAACGGAGAAATTTAATACCGTTATCAAAAATATCAACCGACTTTACGAGTGTCGTGGCGCCCCTGCCCACGTATGAATTTGAAACGATTGCTCTATAATTTGAACAGGGATAAATATATAAAACAAACCTACTTCTATTGCAGAGACCGGGATAATAACTGAAGAGCAAAAGGAAACTACTACCGATGGTGTGACAGATTCGACCATTGCAACAACTCTGGATGCCACAACTGACCGAAGTAATCTAATTTTGTATTTGGTAGGCAGACAAACAAATGGACTAACAGACAAACACAGACATGCAGACAAGGCTGAATACATTTCACTTGATAATTATATTTGGCTCCGCCCAAGACAACATTTTGTTGTTAAATCTGGCGTCGTCTTATATTACTATTCTGCGTCGACTTGAACAATGAAATTAGTTGATTTGAGGAAGCAATATGTCAAAATTTTTCAGCGAAGTCCTGGGATTTGTAAATGTACTAAACTAACGCTAAGATGCTCTAATGCGAACATTGTCGCAATATAGGTTTTCCGCTAGGTTTGCCCATGTAATGTTCATCAATCGTCGACAAGCCGCAGATTTCTGCAATAATTCACAACAATTTTTTTTTATAATTTTACGTGCATCATATTAAAACATCTTTCTGCATGTTGCATCTTTCTCTAAATGTGGCAAATTCCGACTAGATATGAACTAAGTGCTATTAACCGAACTGTTTCGGTGTATTCATTCCCACTGAGAGAACCTGTCAGTAAACATCGATAACTACAATATTTTTTGTTTCAGAAAACTGTGACGTCACTTACGATTCAAAATGCTTTTACATCGTCGTGTTTGGTGAACAAAACGTCTCGTTCAACAATGCTAAATCTCTCTGTGGGAAGAACAATCATCTGACCAATATTTATGCTCTCGAACACTACAGACAGTTGAGGGATTGTTTACGCTCAAAGATTCCCACTGGAAAGACATGGGTAACTGCTTGGACTGGTCTCACCTATGAAGTAAGTAAAATATACTCTTATGCAGGGGTGGGCAAGATTTTTGGATTAGGGGCCGAAAACCCGGCACTCCCATAGTATGTGTACCAGCTTAGGCCATAATTTTATTCCGATTTTCCCTTTTTTAGTTTTATTACGAGTTTGAAACTATCTGTGTTAGCAAAGTGAATATCTCTTGCCCATAGGTTTCAGTCCCGTTACACAGTTTGACCAACAAAATTAGTTACCTCCATATTGGTACACATACTTCTGGAGCGCCAAAAATCCTAGACTGGTGGACCATGTGTATGTGGCGTAAAAAGATACATTTTAGGAAATTTTATTCAGATTCAGATATTTTATTTCGTCGTGCATGAAACATTGTCAACAAATAATATTAAATAAAAAACACACATTGTTTCGCAATTGACGAGTAGTCAATTTACGGTGTTACAAAAGCAAAGTTGGAAAACAATAAGCCTCGTGCCAAAACTAAATTTAATCGCAATCTCAACAAATTCTAAAAGCTATTAGCTCGCTAAAACATCATATTTTGGTTTTAGTTTGGTTGAGGCAATTGTCAACCTAAAATATAACTTACACAGATCACAATCACAATCTAACAAGGCTATTGCACCATATAGATTTTAATAAAAACAACTATGTAGTGCATGCAGAATTGACTGAAAGCAGAAATTCATGGCAGCATCAGGCGGGTCAGATTGAATCTCTCAACGGGTCGGATTTTACCCGAGGGCCTGCATAAGTCAGCTTATATGCATCATGTTCAAACTCAAAAGTGCAGAACCGAAAAAAAAATAATAATATGCTAACAGTTTTGCTAAGTAGGTTTCCTTGCTTATTTCTCTAATTGGAGTCGCTCGCCAACAGATATTATTTAACTGGTCTGGTCAACTTTAGTACGAGATATCCCGAGTAAGCGTAAAGCTAAAATTGCAGCATTGTCTAATTTACTTTAATTAAGATGATATTATTATGCTCAGCCATGCCTCAATGATTTATTATGAAGGCGAAATATAAATGGTACTAATTGATATGACTAGCGTTCATGTTGCCAAGAAAAAACTATTTGTAGACTTTAGAACTGACCCTGCAAACTACGGCTCGAAGGACAAATTCGGCCCATTGGGTAATTCAATTTGGCACGCCTGATGCTGCCACGACCAAACTAAAATCAAATATTGATGTTTTAGATAATAAAAAATAGCTCAAGGAATTGGTTGAGATTACTGTTAAATTTAGTTTCTGTACGAGGCTTATTATTTTCTACTTTTGCTTTTGTAACACAGTAAATATTGTTCATAAAATGTAACTTTTCACGTCACACGCGGACGAAATTTTTGACCCCTGGTTCAAAAACCTTGCCAACCCCTGCTTTAGAAGGTCAGTGGTTGCCTACATAAGAAAGTATATCTACCTTAAAGCCTATATTTTGTTATTTGAAACCAATATAAAATGCCTAATTTTTTTTTTACCAGGGTAATCAACTTCGGGAATCATCTGGCAAACATACAGATCTACTGACAAAAGAAATGTGGTATTCTGATAATCCAATGTCCTATGTTTGGTTCAAAAATGTCGCACTATGGATCGATAAACATTCAGCATATGCTTATAAAGGATTTATCAATCGTCAACCCTCTTACCTCTCACACGGTGCCATCTGTGAAATGACCTGAAATTTGGATACTCGGGTCATGAAGACGCAAAACATGAAATAATTGTCTATTGACTGTTGATTATGTTCCTCGAAAAAGGGACAGGAGCCCTATTTAAATTTTCTTTGGATAAATAACACTGGGGCTTATTTTTTGTGGGATGTCTTTTATTTTCATTTATCAAAAACAAAATTACAAAGTGGACAATTACGAAATTTCAAATATACAAAATATGAAAATCGATATCCATTTACTTATGAATGACACATTTTTATTTAAAAAACAGAACTGCTAATCATGTATTATTCAAAAATGATCATATCATCCTCTGGAAAGTCACTAAATTTATAAATTTGAATGAAGATTTCTTATGACTGAATTTCTCTTGCTATCGACTTGGTCAAAAAAAATTTGCGCTATTGGCTAGGTCTTCCTTTAAGTGGAGCGCTTATATTAAAATCATTTTTAAAACTCAGGCTAGGTCTTTTTGGGGGGAAGCCCTCTATCTATGGACTAAACTTGATCTAATCTTTGACCCTACTATTGGTCGACTGCTGACTATTATTAAACAAGCATTCAAAGCACACGCTAATTCTAACTTATAATGCCCGCTTGTCCATTGACCAACTGTTACATATACTGTTATCCATGGACAATGCTAAAGAAACAACCAACTAACCGTACATTTCATTTGTTAGTTGCTGGCGAAATTGAAACAATTATTCAAAGCGCACGCTATTTCGAACTTTACTGTCCGCTAAATACTCCGTTATGGGCAAAACTTGATATATCCGGAATATTGGTCTTTTTCATACCTTAATCAAAGCAAGTATTCAGGTACGGCTTAACTAAGTACCAATTTCAGAAGTTTATTAGGATTTTGCATCAAATTAATAGCTTTTTCAGTTTAATGGCTACTAGTTTTGTTGTCTATTATTTTATTCACACTTCCAGATTATTACAGATACTTTCGCAGCAATATTACCCGTTTTATCCTATAGGTTAATATGATCACTGATTTTCTCATTAAGTTTACTCAATAATATTATTTAACATTAACAGTATAATTACTGATATTTTGCAGGCAATTTACCGGCATTATCACAGTATAGTGACTGATATCGTCACTTTTTATTCAATTCCGGAAACCAGCATCTTCTATACGCATATTTTATTTTGCATTTTTTTGTTTTCCTATTAATTATCCCCGAAAATGTGATATAGTATTTAGCAATTATTTCACAACTTATAATCCCCCACACGACGTTTGATTTTATTTTCAAGATCTGACCTTACCACGGTAAACAGTAATTTTAGATGTAAATTACGATTTTGCATTAAAATATCGGCTTTTTAAGTTGAATTGCTATTATTTTCCTTCTTTTTTATTTTCGACATATTTCCAGAATATCACCACCTTAATAATATTACTTGTTTTGTCCTAATTTACTGATTTATAACAATGTGTAAGGAGCTGCCATGGCTCCGACAAAACTCAATCAGTTTATTACGCAATTTATTTTAACATTTAAAAATTTTGCAATATGATCTGGGAATTATCGTTCTATTTAAACTGACCTATCATAAAAGTAATTCTGATTTTATTAAGGATGTCATTTTTCCGTGGTGAACAGTAATTCAGATTCAATTACGATTTGGCATTAAATTTATAAACTTTTTAAGTTGAATTGCTAATATTTTCGTCCTTTTCTCATTTTCAACTTTTTTGCAGGACACCACACATATTTGCGCAGTAATATATCTTGTTTTGCCCTAACATAATCACTGATTTTTAATTTCCCATTGAGCCTACACAATTTCCTCAATCATATTATAAAACTGTTTAACAGGAAAACTGTGGATATTCTGCAATTACTGATATTTTGCAGTGAACTGAATGTAATCACCAAGTTCCTTTATTCCATTTCAGAAGTCAGAAAATATTTCGACAATGATGAATATTAAGCTAAATAAGTGTTTCCTTGTTTTAATTTAATATCAAAAGAATTTACCAAGTGCACCAATATATACAGTCTGTACATACCATACAAGTATGGTTGTGAGATATGGAAATCAGAGAACGCTATTCCGTACGCTCACATTTTTTATTGCACATATCATGGTGATCAGTAATTTCCATTTCAGATTTATTACGATTTTGCAGTAAAATATCAGCTTTTTTTAAATTGCTATTATTTTCATTTTTTTTCATATTCAACTTCTTCCAGAACATAGCTGTTTAATCGTAAAGTTGTGGATATTCAAAAGTGAAATTACTGTGATATCTTCCAAGTTATTATTTCATGTCTGAAGCCAGTGAGTATTTCAACAGTGATGAATATGAGGACAAAATATTTTTTTTCTTGTTTTAATTTAATATCAATATAATATACCAAGTGCATCAATAAATACCGTCTGTATAGTTCATTGGATCTGAAACTTTTAAGCCGCGCCCCCTCTTTAGAATTTGTCAAGTCTCGCGCCCCCCTCAGCTATCAATGGACTTTTCCCCGAGCATCGACTTCCTTGTTCCTCAATTGCAGTATTAAAAAATTATTGTAGAAATAGCTGTGATAGACTAAGCTAAAATTATTTACCGGTACTTTTGAAAAACAGATTGTTGTATGCGATGAATCATAATGAGGTTTGAAACTAAAACCCAATTTTACAGGCGCCAACTCGCGAAACCATTCTTAAAATTAGCCCCGAAAATTTTATAATGGTAAAGTATAGGAAGAATTTTTCGGGGGTCAAAGGTCGGGGAAAGGTCCATAAGTTACAAATAAAAGATAGCAAAGCGAAAGTATGTTTTATTCAAAAACATGTTGAAAATGTAAATTATAAAGTAATATAGTAAGTAATACAGTAAATAATACGGCGGGAAATATCAAATCTAACAAATATTTTTATTTTGATTAGCTTCACGCCCCCTAAAATAGCGTCAACGCCACCATGGTCGAGCGTGCCCCACCCTTTGAGAACCACTAGACAAGGGGTCGGCAACCTTTTGTCGATTGCGGGCTAAAATTAAAGGTTGCAAGTCATTGGCGGGCCGCAAATATATTTAAGAGGTTGAAAACCGACCGGATGATACTTTTTATAACAAGAGAGCTATGCTCAAATATATGGGCACGTAGCGAGAGAAAGAAAGTAATAGCTTTCTGGAGAAAATTTTTATCTTGAACCATTAAAAATTTCAAAGCAATTGGTCCAGTATTCGAAGAGAAAAGCGATTTCTTCAAAACGTGTTGACGAAGACAAATAATAATAACAATAACAACAAATTTTTGAAACGATCGTTACGTCCACTACGTGTCCAATAAAAATCAAGCAGTGATACATCTCTCGAATAGAATATAGATTTATTGCACTTAGCATCAACGTCACTACGTTTTGTTGCCATGTGTCTAATTATATTTAAATTATAGGCTCATCAAACCAGTAATTGTGAATTATATACTTGTTAGGTTATAATAAAATTTAGTCTACATGTGTCTCACAATAAATTCGGTTACGTAAGGAAAATAATCGTTAAAACAGCTGTTTTGTTACTATGAAGTTCAGTGAAGCGTCGCCGACGGGATTATGTGGCTCCGCGGGCCGTAGGTTGCCGACCCCTGATAGACAATAGTAGTGATTTATACATAAATCAGAGAACGGTATCTCTTACGCGGGAATTTTCCATTGCTCATCTTATAATTGGCGAAGACAATTCGGTTAAAATAAATCTCATTGTGGTTGTTTTGTCTGATTACTTTACCACATTTATCATCACCACCATTGTCACAGTTTGGTTTTGCTACTGTGTGTAAATATAAGTCAGAAGAGCCAAGATTCCGGATTGGTTATTTATTGTACGGCTATTCTACACTTAAATAGTTATAACAGCAAGAACAACTCAAAAGCAGCTGACGTACAGCCTTTTCCGACTTGTTGTTACGGTACTTGGTAATAATTGTTTGTTTACATTCTTGTGTAAAAGAGTTGCTTTGGTGAGGGTTCGTTACAGTTTCGCAACAGGCTCATAGATGGACCTGTAAATGTGTATCTGGTTTGGGGGCAAATGAACTTTTCACTCATTAATTGTAAATATAAACTTCAGATTTCGTCACAGAGAAAATGTGACTGCGTTTCCAATTCCTTTATACTTCGATCTCAGGACCCTTTACCTAACCTTTAACCTTTTTTCATGCAACCCAAGTTTTTTAAAAAACAAATTTTGTAAAGCCTCGTGACCCTAGAATATCCTCAAATACTAAACGACATGTAGTGCTTTTGAGCCCGATAAATTAAATTACTTATATTAAGAAATAATCATTTTTCAATAATATTTATATCACCAGAAATTACTTCAAATTGAGAAACCTTAGCTTATTTGCCACCAGCTAGTTTTGTAACCCCGGTGCTGCTTTACCAAATTCAAATAGATGCTGCCAAATTTCACGCTTCGATACCTCATGCATTTACCAGGAGCGTAGCTAGGAGGTGGTTTTGGGAGTCGGAACCCCCCCCCCCCCCCCCCCCACCCCTCTCTCTTTTAAAATGTAAAAAAATAAAAGCATCTTTCTAAATCAG